ACCACACACACACACACACACACACACACACACACACACACGCACACACCACACATACACGCACACACACACATACACGCAAATGCACACACACACGCAAATGCACACACACACAATCTCTCATTTCTCCATCACCGCCATCACCATGCGCAACATCACAACATCATCATCATCACCACCATCATCACCACCGCCAGCCCTGCACGGTCTGCTCTCTGGCGCGGCGCTGCCCAAGTTCCCCAACAACCCCGGCACGCTGGACGACTACGCGTTTACGGCGGCTGTACGCCACACGTTTCTTGCCGCGTGGGCGGACGTGCTGTCCGGTTATGACACATACATTGTCCTTCCGCAGGACGCAGACGCCTGGCTCGAATGTACGTTGTGGTGATGGAGATGGTGGTTGATTGGCTTTCGTGGTGAAGGAAGGAAGCAGTGGGCATAGGTGTGTGCGTGTGTGTGTGTGTGTTTGTTTGTTTGTTTGTTTGTGTCGCGCTCTGCAGTAGGAGGCACACACTCCCCCCTCCTCTTGCTGTTCGACTTGCCTGGACCGTCACACTTCAGCTCACCACGCCACACCCCACACCACATGCCCACGTCACGCACGCTACCACCACCTGTCGTGTGCTGCTGTTGCTGTTGTCCAGGCGGCACGGTTGATGACAGCGTCTTTGACAAGCTGTCCTTTCTGTCGGACCAGCCGTCCAGCAACAGTCCTTTTCTCACGCGCTTCCTCGAGACGCAAATCTTCGCCTCGTTCCTCGACAAGAAGGTGGTGATGCTGATGATGATGATGGTGGCGGTGGTGGTGGTGGCGACACTTGTGATGGTGGTGGCGAAAGTTGCCACAGTGCAACTTGCGATGATGGTGGTGATGATCTTGCTGTTGCCGTGAACCCATTGGCTGTCCAGTGTTAGTTCTTATGCTTTGTAGAGTGCTCGTCTCCAAGCAGTACGCTCACACACACACACACACACACACACACACACACACACACACACACACACACACACACACACACACACACACACACACACACACACACACACACACACACGCACACACACACCACATCACCATCCACCCCGCCTCCCCCCAAACAAAAATTTACAGATTACGTCGCTGTTGAAGGCGAATGAGGCTCACTCGTGCTTCGATCATGTCCTCGCTGCCCGCGCACGCGCACGCGCAACCAACGACTCCCAGGACGACAACCGTGACGACGACGACGACGACGACGACGGCAATGATGGTGGTGGTGGTGGTGCGAGAACGAAGGGTGCCGGCGACGTAGGTGGAAGCGGCGGTGGTGTTGGTGTCGGTCTGGCCAACACGGATCCAACATCCTTTCTGCACGTGAGTACCGCTGTGCACACATGTGTGCATGTGTGCTTGCGTTTGTGCTTGGGACCATGTGTGGTGGCTTGCCTGTACCTGTGACTAGTTTTTGCCTGAGCAAGTTCACCATTCATAACACCATCACCACCACCACCAATGCCCCTGTGGTGCTGTGGATGTGTTGTTCAGTTTCTGGACCGGCGGCACTTTGGCGACGACGACATCATGCAGATGCTCCACAGCCCTCTCGCACACATGTACACACACACACGTGTTGACGCATGCATGCACGCACACACACGCACACACGCACACACACACACAAACACAAACACAAACACACACACACACAAATGTACGCACACGCGTGAACTCGCTATTGTGCCAATGTTGATATCCTTGGTTTTTTCTCTCTCCCTGACACCAACACGCGTCTGTACGCGTACTGCTGTATGTGCGTGCGTGTGTGTTCAGGCGTGCGTCGGATGTGCATGTGGACTTTACGGCAGTTGCGCCAGAAATCAACGCAGCTGCCAGCAGTGACAATGACGATGGCAGCGGTCGCAGTGGTGGGGATGATGATGCGAAGGCAAAAGATGATGACAGGACGACGAAGGGGAAGGATGGGAATGAGAAGCAACAGGAAGATGAGGGCGAAAGCAGTGCGAAACGTGACGCGAGTGCTGACAAGGGTGGCCGTGTTACTCACACTGACGCTGATGGTAGCGGTGGTGACGATGCCCGCTGTGATGGCGGCAAGAAGACTCAAGACGGTGGCAAGACTGCTCGTGGTGGAGGCGGGCGACAGCTGCCTTCACCACCAAAGCTTCAGCAACAGAAGAAGAAGGAGAAGAAACAGAAAGCATTCGCGTCAAAGTCATACCCGGATAAGAAGGCAAAGCCCTCGGAACCACTGAACCTCAACGTATGTCGTGGTGGTGGTGGTGTGTGTGTGTGTGTGTGTGTGTGTGTGTGTGTGTGTGTGTGTGTGTGTGATGAAACCTTGCTATCACCCACGTTCCCGTCCACTCTGCTTGCCATCCACTTGACCCATCACATGTCCTGCCACGTGATGTTATCTGTTTCTTTCTTCTTCTTCTTCAACACCCGTCCCCTCCCCTTCTTCTCCACTGCCCCCCCCCCGCTTCATCCCTCCCATATTATCATTATCTCTGCAGGCGGTGGTGTGCGGCCGCTTCCACTTCCCCGTTCCGTCGCTGTCGCCATCACAGCTGGAGCAGGAGCCGATGCAGTGGCCGTCACACCACGACGAGGGCGGCGATGATGGTGATGGTGATGACGAACAGCAGCTGTCAAAATGTACGTCGTGACTTGATGGTGCAACCAGGGCACGCAAGGGAGGCAGGGGCGACGCATGTATGGGAGAGGGCGCGTGCGTGTACCTGTGTGTGTATGTGTGTCTGTGTCTGTGTGTCTGTGTCTGTGTGTCCGTGTGTCTGTGTCTGTGTCTGTGCCTCTCTGTGTAACCCAGCCTCATGCACCCCCCCCCCTCTCAATCACATCGCCTCCCGTGTCCACCACCACCACCAGCAGCGCGTGCCCGCCGCCGCGCCAACCGCCGGCTCAAAGCGCTCCAGCACGCGAGCGGCAGCGACCACGACGTCATACAGGTGAACACGTGCACGCATCATGTGTGGGTCAATGCGCACGTCTTGGCATGATGCAATGTTGTTGCAGCTGGCGCGAGGATTGTTTCCACCACGCTTACCATCACCACGCTTACCACCGCCACCACCACCACCATCATCATCCTCATCACTACCACAATCACCACAATCACCACGGTCACCACCACCACCACCACCATCATCATCATCATCATCATCATCATCACCACCATCATGGCTGTAGTCGCGTCTTGCTGCGGCGCGCGAGCACAACAGCCGCCACCGCCGCGATGACGACGGCCACCACCACCATCACCACCACCATCAGCGGCACCAGGGTGTGATTCGGGACGTGCGGCTGGAGGAATCGCAGCCCACGGATTCGCAGGAAAGATTTGCCGGCGCACTCGTCATGGAGTGCTCGCAAAAGGTCGGGCCATGGTGTGGTGTGGTGTGGTGTGGTGTGGTGTGGTGTGGTGTGGTGTGGTGTGGTGTGGTGTGGTGTGGTGTGGTAGAGTGTGGTGTTGCTATCGTGCGTTTGCGGGCGCTTCACAAGTTTAGACGTAGCATCGTGCACCCGACCCCTTGCTCACACATTGCTGACACACACACACACACACACACACACACACACACACACACACACACACACACACACACACACACACACACACACACACACACACACACGCACACACACACATGTGTACACGCCACTGCATCCGTGCACAGGTGAAGAGGATGGTGAAGGCGAGCATATCCTTGCAGGTACGTCGGCGAAGTGGAGGAGGTGGTGGTGCTAACAACAGCGGCGTTGATAACTGAACGGGCGGGAGTGAGACAGACACCTTGAGCAAATGCCTCAGGAACGTCAACACACGCACACACCCGCACGCGCACACATGCGCACATGTATCCACGCAAGAAGCAAGTGTACTTTTTATCCCCACACACATGTATGCACAACCACACGCACATCATGACATACTCATTCACACATATCGTCACAAGCCTTCCTATCCCCCTCCTCTCCACCTCTTCATGTGTATGCGACTGCAGGGACCGCATGTGCAGCACGTGCAACAGCGCGAGAACACGATGGTGGCCGGTCTGTGCGATTTGCTGGAGCGCGCGTTCAGACACGGACTCCACAGACAGGTGACTACGCACTTGCACGTGGTCTGCTCGTTGGTTGGTCGGTTGCTTGCTAGTTGCTTGCTTGCTTGTTTGCTTGCTTGTTTGCTTGCTTGCTTGCTAGTTGGTTGGTTGGTTGGTTGGTTGGTTGGTTCGAGGCCCGCCCCATGCTTGCTTCCAGACCTGCGCAATCGCTCACCATCGCGACTCCTTCTCTCACCGCACATTCATGCGTTCTTGTGTGTGTGTGTGTGTATTTGCTGTATGCGTGTGCATATGTGCATGTGCATGTGTACATGTGCATGTGCATGTGCATCAGTACAAGGCGCCGCTGTGGCAGTTTCTCCTCAATTGCCTGAAGACCGGCGCTCTTCCCCGCACTGTACGTGGACAGTGATGGTGGTGATGATGTGCGGCAGGCAACCGTCACGTGATGCATGGCCATGTTGGCTATCGTGTGCGTGTTGCAGCGCAAGCCTGGAGACACACACACACACACACACACATCATCATCATCTACACACCATATCCACACCATATACACACACACACACCATCTACACACACAAACACACACACACACACACACACACACCATCCACACACCACCGGCAAACAACAGGTGCAGGTGTCGATCAGGGATGTGGCGGCGATGGCGTTTCTTCGCTCAGATGTTGGTCGCGGACGCGCGTGGGTTCGTCTCATCCTCGAACAGCGCAGACTCAGCCAGTGCCTGGAGGCATGCTTCGGGTGCGTATGTGTGTGTGTGTGTGTGTGTGTGTGTGTGTGTGTGTGTGTGTGTGTGTGTGTGTGTGTGTGTGTGTGTGTGTGTGTGGGCGGGTGGGTGGGTGATGTTTACTTAAGAACAAGGGAGAGCTTGAGACTGTGTGCGCACCCGTGAGTTCATGTCGTGGGAAGACTCATTCCTGCTTCAACTGCTTGTGTTTTCAACCTTTCTCACTCACTGGCGCTTACCATTGCACACGTTCACGCATCCACTCAACACACACACACACGCGTAATCAACTTCGCCAACACAACTCACACACACACACACACACACACACACACGATTAACATCCACCAACACAACACACAACACACCGCAATGCACGTGTGCGTGTGTACGTGTGCGTGTGTGCAGGTGCACGGCGGTTGTCGTCGACATGTACAAACCATATGCGTTTCTGCAGCAAGCGGAACACCGGCTACAGCTCGTGTCGCACCTCCTGTCGCTGACAACACTTGACCTGGCCTGCTTCTCGTCAAACTACCCACCAGCCACCATCGCATACACCATCACCATCAACACCGCAAAGTCAGAACGCATCTCGGCGTGTGGTGATGGTTGGGAGGGGGGAGGAGATGTGTGTGTGTGTGTGTGTTCGTGCGTGTGTGTGTGTGTGTGTGTGTGTGTGTGTTCGTGCGCGTAAACATGTGTGTGTGTGTGTGTGTGGCGCTGAGCGAGAGTGTCGTGTCATCGTCACCCCCACTCTTGTTCCACCTCACGTCATGGCAACATCACACCGCCCGCACCGTCTGCCTGCACGCAGGGGTTTCCGGACCGGCACAACAGCCCACGTCTGGTGCAAGCTTGTGGGCGACATCACACACACGGTACATCAATGGCGGTAATGATGATGATGATGATGGTAGTTGTGGTGGTTGTGCGACATCGTTCCGACTGCTCCCCCCACTGCCTCTGCCATGCATGCTCCCATGCACGTTCGTGTTCATCGTGATGCGCTGCCTCATTTGTGTCATTATGTGTTCGTTTTAGGAGGACCTGTCCTTGGGCAAGTCGAGCACGTTTGGGTCTGGCGGCGTCCATGAACTTCAGATTCGACACAGGAATGTCGGCGCCCTCCAGGTGAGGCGAGAGCTGCTGTGTTGTTGCATTGATTGGAGACTTGCACATAAGAGAGAGTGAGAGAAGGTGTGGTTGTGTGTGTGTGTGTGTGTGGTTGTGTGGTTGTGTGTGTGTGGTTGTGTGTGGTTGTGTGTGTGTGTGTGTGCACTGCTGCTGCCCTGCTGCCATACATCATCGAAGCCTCATTTGCCACGTCTCATCGTCTTGCGCCTGCGTTGCATTTCCTTTCGATGCTTTCAGTCCGTCGTTCTCTCCCACGACAACACGGGCCTCTCGCCCACCTGGGTCGTCGACAGGTGCGGTGCCCGTGATCGACCACGCTTGTGCATGAACCTGATCTGTCGTGTGTTCCACTTCCCTTTTGCTCGGTCCATCCGCCTTCCCTCTGTCACCTCACTCATCTCAGCTCGTCTCATCTCATTTCACCAACTCATCTCACTGTCCCCCCCCCCTGGGCTCACGCTCGCCTCCTGTTTGTTCTGTAGTGTGACCGTGTTTAATGGGACGACTCGCATGACAACAACACTGACGTCAGACGGGAGAAAATTTGAGAAAGACCGTGACACTGGGCGAAACACTGTGACCCTCGCCCCAACCTCCGCAGGCAACATGACGCAATCGCGACAGGTTTGACGCTGGTGCACGTGACAGGCTATGCCACCATACACGTGTGTGTGTGTATGTGTGTGTGTGTGTGTGTGTGTGTGTGTGTGTGTGTGTGTGTGTGTGTGTGTGTGTTGCCCTTTACATCTCACGACGTAATCACCACCACCACAACAACAACGACGACGACGGCAACAACAACAACGTGGTTGCTGTTGTAATCGTTGTTGCCATTGTCAGACGTCGACGCCGCCCCCAACAGCGGCCGACGAACCGCTGCCGGAGAGCGAACGCAGAAGAGTGCAGGCGCTGTGGTGAGACAACAACAATGGCGACGATGATGATGATGATGATGATGTTGTTGTTGTTGTTGTTGTTGTTGTTGTTGTTGTTGTTGTTGTTGTTGTTGTCGTCGTTGTTGTTGTTGTTATTGTTGTTGTTGTCGTTGTTGTTGTTGTTGTTGTTGTTGTTGTTGTTGTTGTTGTTGTTGTTGTTGTTGTTGTTGTTGTTGTTGTTGTTGTTGTTGTTGTCGTTGTTGTTGTCGTTGTTGTTGTGGCTCGTGGTGGTGATAGCAAACGGTGGAGCGGGTCGGCGAGCGAAAGACTCAATGAGTAAGCGCATGTGCGTGTGTGAAGACACTTGTGCCACTCACCACCGCCACCATTGTCACCATCATGACTGCCCGACAGCGAGGAGTTTGCCACGGCAATCAACAGGATGGTGAAATACTTTTATCAGGTCGAACCATCACAGCAAGACGACACAACCAAGGTCGGGCGATGCGGTGTGGGTGGGTGGGTGTCGTGGGTGTGTGTGTGTGTGTGTCTGCGTGTCTGTGTCTGCATCTGTCTGTATCTGTCTGTCACACACACACACACACACACTCTCTCTCTATCTCTGTGTGTGTGTGTGTGTGTCTCTGTGCTCGCCCTGGATTTCTGCCTTCCTCGCCTGCCACCACC